GCATGCGTGTGCCTGCGCGCGCACGCGCCCTGCCCTCGGCTGCTGCAGGCCCTACCTTCACCCCATCCTCCCCATCACCCCCCCACCCCCGTGTGAGCAACGCGCTCCCCCCACCCCGGTGCAGGGATCATCCGTTCCCGCCACGGGAATAAAACTCTTGAGGGTCCTGGCCCCAAAGCGCCGCCTCTCCCCCACCCCGCAGCCACGCACCTCCGGGTGGAGGCGTACCTTTGGGTAAAGGCGGACAGGGCGAGTGGGGAGCCCCCCCCTCCCCGTCCCGCCCCGGGGCCTCCCCGCGGGGCACAGCCACCTTCAGCGCGCTGTTCTTAGTGTAGTGCGGTGCCCGGCCCGCAGGAGGCGCTGCGGCCTCTGCCTGGCCTGGAGGTGAGCTGGTGAACTGGAGGGTGGGGTGAGGAGGTGCTGCCTTGGCCAGACCCCTGCCCGTCTTCTCCGAGTGCGAGTGTGAGTGCGTGTGCGTGTGTAGGTGTGTGTGTGTCTGTCCGTCCGTCTGTCTGTCCTCACTTGTCTTATCCCCTTCCCTCCTCCTCCCCCCCCCCACACCCCCAGCTCCGCTCACAGGGCTCTCTCTCATCTCCTTCTTCCCCTTGTCGCAGATCCTGGCAGCTTGGTGATGCCAGGCCTTCTGACCTTCAGCACCACTGGCACAGGGCAGAGAGATGCAGGTGGCCCAAAGACCGCCATCAAGGGGTCCCAGATTAGTCAGGGGGAGAAGGCCGAGCTCTCCCGCTTCCAGGGAGACCTCCCTGCTCAGCAACCCCCAGAGACACAACAACCTACCTTCCAGCCTTAACTCGATGGTCCGTCCCTGCCGGGTGCCCCTCACCCCCTACCTGTTCCCAAAGCCAGGTCACCCCTAAGTTTAAAACATTTGTTTTGCTTTGACAGAGTGTGGACAAGGGAATCCCCCCCCCCAAAGGCTAGATTCCTTTCCATGATTGCCAGGTTCCATTCCTCTGTTACCTCCTGCACTGACTGGGCGGTTGGCCAGATCGAGGGAATGTTGGGTTGTGAGGGGAGCTGTTGGTGGCAGGCAGGGTGGTGCCCAGGAGGGGGGGTAAGGTTGTGCCAGTGACCATTCTGTCCCTCAGTCCCATCCCATCTGACTACCCCCGACTCTGCCTGCTTCAGATCTCAGATGACTCGGATTACAATCTGGAGGAGGGCAGAGCCCAGGAAAAGAATTAAGGGGAGCCCTGTGCTTGCGGGAGATACGCCTGCATCCCCACTCACTGGTGGAGGCCCTCAGGATCTGACGCCCCTTGTCCCAGCAGCAGGTGGCCCTATGCCCTAACTCACCCCACCCCCATTTTCTCCGGCTGCCTGGCCGGGTTTCTACCTCTCGTCACCGGAGCTGATCACTGTCAGTTTTGTACCGAATTAGAAATAACAATAATCGTGAAGATTCCAGGAACGGCCTGAGGGATTTCTGGGGGGACTTGGAGGGAGGGAACAGTGGTACTATGTCCTCTGCCCCCGGTCAAGGAAGTTCTCCTTGGGCCCTCAGTTCCAGGTCCAGTGGGAGCACATCGAAGACCCTTGTTAAAAGACGGGCATATATATAGAACACAGCCTTGGCCAAGGCTACAGCACCTAGACCAAGAAATCAAGTACTCAGAGGGGTGATGGAGAGGAGGCGAAGGGAAGGATTGATCGAGGGAATCTGATTCTGACTTCCCTCACTGCTTCCCATTCCCTCCACACACACACACTGGGGGCAGCAGAGCCCCACAGTCGCCACCCTGACCTTGAGCAGTCTAGTGTTGCTGTGTTCTAGACCCTGCTGTACTGCCTGACTTTGGGCAAGAGACTCCCTCTTGGAGCCTCCCTCTGAAACAGAGGAGGTGGCTCCCCTTCCCCACACTTCAGAGTGGCTGGGAGGGTAAGAAAGAGGGCTGTCTCCTTTGGTCTCCCATAACCCCACCCCTGGTTCCCAGAGGGATGGGGTGAAGGATGGCAGCATCTAAGTGCCCCGATCATCCTCACCTTAGAGGTACCTGAGGTAAGGGTGGGGGCCCAAGCCTTTGGCTGCCCCTCATGGGAGCTATTGGGATGTAGCACTCCCCCACCCCTCAACTGTCCCCACTTCACCCCAGGTATTGAATTTCAGGTCTCCACTCTCATTCTGAGTCTCTGTCCTTCCCCTCCAACCACCAGGGTTTCCCACCACAGGGTCTGGAAGTATGTGTGATGCCCACTGAGCTGTTAATGGAAGTCAGATTAAAAATCAGGGAGTGTTTCCCTTGTTTCTCTATCATGGTATCCGCCCTGTTCCTCAGGGAGGGAAGGGAAGGTCCCCAGGGCATCTGTGGCCGGGATCTGTGTGGCACCAGGGTGAGGGGGTGATGTGGGCTCAGGCTCAAGGCCTAGATCAACTAGGAGATGAAAGGAGAAGGGCTTGGGATTCATTTCCTTTCTACCCAACAGCAAAAACCTCCAACTAATTCTAGATGGGAATAATGGGCCCTGGCCGCTCTCTAGAGGCTTGTTGTCACAGGAGTCTACGCCAGCTTCTCTGCATCTTCACACTCCAGGTTGAGACTTTGGACCCTCTCAGTCATAACTTCTCAGTTGTATATGTGTTAACAACTCAGTCAACCCTCTCTCTTGATGCTGAATGGACTCTTGTTTTCCCAGCCTAGGCACTAACCTTTATTTGGCTGGCCTTGTCCCTGTCCATGGTGCTGATATTCCAGCCACTTCGGAAGGAGAGTGCGGTCCTTCAAGACTAGCTGAGCCTCCAAAGAGGAAACCCCCTTCATCACAAACTCCTTCCATCTGTCCCCATGCTCTCCAGTGGGGAGAGCACTTGAAGCTTCTCCTTCCTCTACCTCCACTGCTCTACTGTGAGAGATTCGAGAAGCTTGGGGCTTAAGGAAGACCCACATGTGTTTAATAACTTAAAAGTGTGGAGACAGGTGGAAATGGCCGAGTCAGGAGTTTTGGGAGCTTTTCTGGAGGAGCATGATAAGATAGAGGGATGCCCACACCCCCTGGCCTAATGCTGGAATTGCAGTGTGTTTTTCCTCAACTGAGCAGATTCAGCTGCCCTTCCCCCCTCTCTCTTTCTTTCCCTCTCTTAACTCCTTCCCCCCTCTCTCCTACCATCCTTCCTTCTCCCTTTCCCCCTCTCTCCTTTTCCTTCTCAGCCCCCCTCCCCCACCACACACACACACACTGGACAGGATTTCATTAGGTAGCCCAGACTGGCCTCCAATTCTTGATCCTTCTGCCTCTGCCTCTTGAGTGCTAGCATTACAGATTGCATTATCACACTTGGCTGGGTGGTCTGTGATGCCTTCTGACTCCTGCCTGGCCAAGGCCTATGTTGAAGTGAGCAAACAGCTCTTCTGTTCTTACATACATGTGTTCCTTTTTGCTTCCTTCCTCCCCACCCCCGACCCCCCGCCACAAGTTCCTCAGACCCAGGATTCCTCCTCAGGTGGAGGTGGGGCTGGAGCCAGCTGCCGAGAGCCCTGGTCCTCCAAAGGCTGGGGGCTGCTCTCCAGTGGGTGGGCCTGCTCTTTCTTTTCCTTTTCCTCCTCCGCATTTTCACTTGCATAACCTCTGTCTGCCTGGCTTGCCCTCCCTTCCTTGATCCCCACTCTGGTTTTCAACAGTCTGCTCCTGTGCAGTGCCCCTGCTGAACCCAGACAGAGATAGGCCAGTGGCTTGGGGATTCGTGAAGGCTGCTTCTCAGGTCTGTGATCCTTCCGGGGCCGGATCCTGGGCCTCAGCTTCAGCTTATAGATGGATGGGACTCTCTGGGGCTTCTGGAGTGTTCTCTTGCCCTTGCCTAGGCAAGCCTTGGCTTTGTCAGAATGAGACTCTGAGAGTGAAGGTCTGGGGGCCTCCTGGCTGGAAGATACGGTAGGGGTGGAACACTCCTGCCCTCCAGGAGGCAAGACATGGCTCGTCTTGGTGTCCTCCTCACTCAGGCTTGCCTTTTCCTTTGGCTTACTCTCTCTGGCTCCCAGCTTCCCTTTTGTGTTTCCTGGGCCTCCAGTAACAGCTGGCTTAGGGGAGCCTGTAGGGGTGACCTTCCAGGATCCAAGGTCCACTTTAAGGAGGGGTGGGGGGCCTTGAGCTAGTTCTTGGATGACTTTGTCATAAGGACCACCAGGTGCAGGCCACCGCCCACTCAGGCTGGGGACGTATACCCCACTTCGAGGGATGACTGATGACCCTGTGTCCTGGGGACAGGCACCCCCTACTTCCAGCAGCTCCATGTTGGCCACAAGCTCTTCCAGTCTCTGGTAGACGGATTGCTTCCCAGTCCTGCCAAGGGGCAAGGGGGTATGCTGCCTTTCCCGCTCCTGTGGGCCAGTGCCCCAGGGTGCTACGGCCTCTGCAGTGACTGGGACGTCTGGCTGCTGGTCCCCTTGCCTCACTTCCACAGAGCAGCTTCCATGTCTGGACCTGGCAAGGTCCCCAGTGACAGTCTTTGGTGAGCTGGGGTTTCTCCCCACTTCTGCCACAGGACCTCCATTTGCAGCACCTGGACAGCTTCTTCCTGGGGTGACAGGACAGGCAGGGGATAGCCGGATTGGAATCTTGGTGAGTCCTTTGACAGGGGATGGAGAGGGGACAGATGCTGGCTCCTTGAGCTGGGGGGAAGCACCCTGGTGTGGCAGCCCAGGGCCTGGAGGGTTGGCTGGGCTTGAGGAATGAGGCAGAGGAGATGGTCCCCTCCGTGATGTCACTTTGGTGGTGACATCAGGAGCTTGATGTCTCTGGGGAGTAGGGGCCCTGGCATGGATTCCCAGGCCCTCTGTCTTCTCATGAACCCAAGATGTAGGAGTCCTTCCTCTGGGAAGTTGACCAGAGTATTTTTCCTCTTTCCTTCCTACAAGGGCATCCTGTGGCTCTTGGCCCCTATGGGTAGGTGAGGACTGAGGAATGGGTAAGCTTCCCCCACCTGATGGCTGCCTCCAAGATGGGCTGAGCGGCCTTTCCTGGGACCTGAAAAGAAGAATCATAGGCTGAAAGGGAAACTCGAGGCCAGCAGGGACTTGGGAACACAGCTGTATGGCTGCTTCAGTCTGTGCTCCCTCCCTTGTTCTTAGAGCAGCAGAGAGAAGGCAACCTAGGCCTGGCTTGGGGTGATTTCATATCATTCCAGACCAGAGATCTGACAACTGGCGGTCACCCTTCTTAGGGGTAGATCTCAGTGTTATGTCTACCAGAAGGACCTGTGGTATGTCCTTTGCCTTTCTGGGCTTCTGTCTCCTTTTTGTAAATGAAATGGGAGAATCAAATAAGGTAAGTAGATGACTCAAAAGAACTGATTTTTTTTTTGGTTCTGAACAATGGAAGATTCTACATTGTATGTGTGTGGTATGGAGTTTGAACTCAGGGCCTCCTGCTTGCTACACAGACACTCTACTGCTTGAGTCATGCCTCCAGCCATTGTTTGCTTTCATTTTGTTTTGTTTTTGCAGTACTGGGGATTAAACCACAGGGCCTTGCACATCTAGGTAATCACGTTACCAGTGAGCAACATCTCTAGCTCCCTTCTTGAAATTGAGCTACAGTCTCCTTATATAGCACAGGTTGGCCTCTTTCTTGAGAGTCTTCTGCCTCAGTCTCCCTACTAGCTGGGATTACAGGTATGTGATACCACACCTGGCAATCCTGAGGTCTTGTTGGAGTAGGGGCATTGCTCCATTTATCTCGGAGTGGAGAGACCCCTGAGAAGATGCACTGTAAAGGAGAAAGAAACCCTTCCTTGTCCCTTTCCTGTACCTTAGGAATGGCTCCATCTCTTTCAGGGCTGCTGCTCTCTCTTCACCATAGGGTCTGGGGGAGGAGTGAGGAGAGAGCCTGAATTTTCGGACTGAAGAGGTATATGTCTTCCAGTCCACTGGAGGCAGAGGGCTCTGTGAGCGGCTGATGGTCATCACAGGCTGAGGCTGTGAGGGGCCATCTTCAACTCTCACTTCATGCTGAACTGGTACAGTCTGGGGCTTCAGGAATCTTCCCGGTTTGTGCGCTACCAATATAGTCCCCAAGAGAAAGGAGAAAAGGGAGGGGTTCAATTCCTGCTGCTAGGACCTGCTGTTCCTCTCCTCAGATGTCCACATTTCCCTCACCCTGCTTTAGAGACCGGAGGGCCCACAGCAGCACCACCAGTTTCCCTGTTGAGGAGTTTTAGGAGATACAATGCGGTCAGCTATTGGGCTCGCTTGAAGTTGTATCTGTAGTGCACATCCACAGCTTTTAGTTAGATTCTGTGCCCCTTTGGGATGGTGTGAAAGGCTGCTGGAGATTAAATATCTTAAAAGTCACACACCACAGATGATCCCAAAGCCAGACATTAGCTCTGCAGAGATTACCCTGACCCAAGCCTGATTCTGGGTGTGCTGCACACCACCTAGTGGCTGTATGCAGTACTGTGCCATGATTGCCCAGCTAGTGTCTTCCCCAACCCTCCAGCACAAGCTCAAGCCCTAGGAGATCTCATCTGCCTCCCCCCTCCATTGCTGGCCTCCCAACCCATAGCTATTCCTCTCCAACCAGCCCCACCAGGGAGTGCTCTCAGGGAACTCACAGAGGGACGTGCACCGGCAGGGGTCATGTTTGTCCAGATAATGGCCCAGCGTGTCCCAGCCGCCCCCCACACGCACCATCACATGGTCCCGCAGGATCTGGGGGGGCAAGGGTGAGGTTGAGGACACTGTGGAGGGCATCTTACTCCAGCTGGAAGGTTTCTGGCACACACTCAGGGATACACCCATCTATATACTTGTATACCCATAGGTCCTTCCTACACACATGTGGCCAGGAGCAGATATAGTTTGCAGTCTAGTCTGGCACCAGCTTCATGACTGGTACCAGTAAACACTAGTTGTCAAAGGTGGGAAGCAAAGTGAGAGGCAGGAAGTTGCCCTCCTGCTGCACCAGCGATCAGACGCATTGCGTATAAAGAGACACTCTTCTCTCCTGTCAGGGCAGAGGGGTCTGTGTCTTCTTATATCTTACAGACTTATGTGGGGTCTGAATGTTTCTAGCATTAACTGTGCACTGTCAGGGAGCCACTTGTGGGGGTCCTACTCCACTCAATGATGGGGCAGATCACATAGTCCTTCCAGGCTGCCACATCCTCAAAATGGGACAACAGTTCCTTGCCCCTATCCATCACCAGGCTGTTACCTCAAGGTCTGGTGAGGTCTGCTCCCGGGTACTCTCTGTGCCCAAGCAAAAGGTCTTAGCTAACTAGGCACTGGTGGCTCATGCCTATAATCCTAGTTACTAATGAGGCTGAGATCTGAGGATCCCAGTTGGAAGCCAGCTCTGGCAGAAAAGTCCGTGAGACTCTTATCTCCAATTAACCACTAAAAAACTGAAAGTGGAGTGGTGGTTCAAGTGGTAAAGTGCCAGCTTTGAGCAAAAGAGCTAAGGGAGCTGGGTGCCAGTAGCTCATGCCAGCAATCCTATCTACTCAGGAGGCTAAGATCTGAGGATGGCTGTTCAATGCCAGCCTGATGCAGAAAGGTTTATGAGACTCTTATCTCCAATGAATCACCAGAAAACAGGAAGTGGCACTGTGGATCAAAGTGGTAGCCTGGAGTAAAAGAGCTCAGGGTCAGCGCCCAGGCCTTGAGTTCAGCCCCATGACCAACCAACAAAGTAAAGGTCTTGGCAGTGCTGTGAGTGAGCTGCTGGCTGTATCTTGGGCACAGTCTATGTTTAGTGAGGTGCTGTAGCTAGGTATAGCTGAGTGCCCTGCACTGCTGCTCACTGTGCAGAACGCACTGAGCAGGCGTGAGGACTGGACTCGAGTCTGTGGCTGGGGCCACACACTGAACACAGACCCAGGTTCCCAGGTCCCTTCCTGTGACCTAGCATGTGGGTGGAGTGGAGTAGAATGGGAAAATGAGGTACCCTCTTCATGCCCTGCTTCTCCCTGTGGGGCGATGGTGGAAGCAATGGAGGGTGGTGGTTCTAGTATCCCCAATGGGAGGATAGCATAAGCTTGTCACATTTGCCAGGAATTTCCTAGAGAGATAAACAGTTCCAAGGGCAAAGGTCTTGGGGTGTATGGTGACTTTCTGACCTTGTCCTTAGCCCCCAAGCTTCCATGGGAGCTGGGCATTCTGCTGAGGCCCCTCAGGAGAATGGAGGCCCCTCAGTCCCCAGATCAGACTTACCCGGATGAAGATGAGGGTGTTGGAGTCCCCCACTCGGTACTTCCCCTCAGATACCTTGACCATGGAGAACTGCACTGGGCATGTGCAGCGGCTCACGAGACTCTGCACCTGTGGGCAAGGATCACAGGGCTTAACCTTCCTCCACCTGGACACCCGTGTCTCCCCATCATGCTGCATCAAGCTAGATGGGATCCCACCTGCCTTTAGAGATAATCCCCTATCCCCCAGCTTGCTGCAAGGGGCTGAGGAGCAAGTAAAGACCCATGAAGACCAGATCTGCAGCAATATCTATGGCTCAAAGCCCTCAAAGCTCAGCTAACAGGAGCCATGAGGAAGTGGGATAGGCAGTCTGATGAGCTTGGATCAGAGTCCCATGTCCTCTGCATCACAGACCTTTAGTTAAGACCTCCCTGAAGAAGCCAAGTGCTGCTGGCTCATGTAATGCCCTGCTTCTGGGGCAGGGGGTAGGGGGTGGGGGGAGACACAGGGAAGGAAAAGAAAAGAAGTATCTGAACTGGGAATGTGGCTTAGTGGTAGAGTGCTTGCCTAGCATGCATGAAGCCCTGGGTTCAATTCCTCAGTGCCACATAAACAGAAAAGACTGCAAGTGATGCTGTGACTCAAGTGGTAGAGTACTAGCCTTAAGTAAAAAAAGAAGTTCAGGGACAGTGCCCAGGCCCTGAGCTCAAGCCACAGGACTGGCAAAAACAAAACAAAAAATATCTCTGAACTCTATTTCCTCCTGTAGAGAAAAGGGATTCTTCACAAAAAGAGCTACCTCCTATGGAGGACCCCTTTCCCACAGAGCTAACCATTCAAATTGCCTGGGCTGACACATGTAACAGGTAGATGTTATTCCTGTCCCTACCAGTACTTGAATCTTGAGTTGGGATATGGGTATGGTTCTAGTGGTAGAGCCCCTGCCAAACTTGGAGCTCAAAACCTAGTAAGGAGCATGACCCCTGCCCACATGGTTGGAATGGGGGCTCTGGTGGAAGTTGACTACTCTCAGCCACACGGTGGAGAGATGGTGCCCCAGAGTGAGGCTGGAGCAGGAAAGGCGCAGGGAGAGAGGTGGGTGCAGATGCAGGGGTGCGTGCAGGGCTCCCTCACCATCTGATCCAGGTTGCGGAAGTGGCAAGGCCGGCGCTTGGGGGGCGCGGGCGGTGGGGGGTCGGGCGGGGGCAGGGCCAGCTCCTGCCGCAGCTCCTCCTCAATCTCCTCCTCCAGCTGCACCAGGGTGGGTGCCGCCACGCCGAAGCGCCAGGCCCGGCGGCCGAGCTCCAGCAGACACAGCACCACATTCTTCACGTTCTTGCGCCGCACCAAGTCCTCCGTCTCGAACATCAGCACCTCTTGGGGTGGGATGCAGGGGGGCGGGGGAGGGGGGTGCGCAGGCAGCGTGAGAGAAATCCCTGCTTACCACCTAAGGAAGCCCAGGGCACCGTCCCAGACATGGGTGCAGACGTGAGGGTCTCAGGATCTTGGGGTGGAGACGACCCCTAAGAGGGTGTCTGAGCAGCCTGCTTCAGGCGCTGGGGGCGGGGGGGGGAGAAGCTGGCAGGAGAGGCTGGGGTGAGAAGAGGTGGTGTAAAAGATCTAGGTGGGAGCCAGGGGAAAGCAGGGTAAAGGGTCCATTCCATGTAGCCTTTCCTCCAACCCCTCAGACCACCAGGATGGACCAGGAACTTGGAAACTGTTTGGTCCACTTCCCACTTCCTACCTCATCCATAATCCTAGCTCGGGTATAACCAGGCAGAGCTGAGTACAAGCTCAGGACACCCTGTCCCTGACTGGCCTGCCACTGTGTGACCTTGAGCTAATCTTCTGTGGAGCTGAGACATGGCCTGTTTCACAGCCTGTTGTGAGGACTAGATAAGCTATCCTCAGTTAGCATTTGTAGTGATGCCTACTATGGGGAAGTGCTCTATCAAACCCCAACTTTAAATTATTATTATTATTATTATTATTATTATCATTATCATTATTATTTTGTAGTGCTGGGATGGAACCCAAAGCCATGGCATATTTAAGTACATGCTCTATCACAGAACTACTCAGCCTAAACACTAGCTCTTCTGAACCCTCCAGTCTTGCCCTGTCACCAGCCAGCAGCCCAAGAGCCTGGCCCTTCCTGTCTCATTCACACACCAATCTTTGGCCTAGGGATGACAAAATGTCTTTCCTGGGTCTCTCAGGCCAGTGAGTTGAGGAATCCTGTCATGTCCCTCCCCTAAGTCCTACAAGTCTCAGCTTGACTGGGCCTGTCCCTAGCATTGTCCCTCCTGCCTTTGTGTCCTGAATTCTTCCCCCACCCCACCCCCACCCAGCCCTGCATCTTCCGGATCTCAGCTTCTCCCAGGCATCTACACTCAATGCTTGTCCCCACCCTGCCCTTCCCTAGAATAACCTTCCCTAGACTTCTGTTTACACCTTATAGTCCTCTCCTCCCTCCACAAATCCTTTCCTAACTCCCACCTCTACATCAACAGGTCTGCCCCCTCCCCACTCACACCTGGATTTTGAGTGTGTGTGTGTGTGTGTGTGTGTGTGTGTGTTGGGGGGGGTCTGTTACTTGGGCACCCAGTTTCATGGTCTTCTGTACTTTATGCCCACAGTAGTGCTCAGCACAGAAGAGGTGCTTCATATATGGGTCATATATGGGTCACATCCACTGATCTATCATCCCTATGTATTTACTAGGAGTGGGGGAAATGAGTCATGAAAGGAAATGAGCTACCCCAAGGCAAATCTAGAAGAAGCACCCAGGGTCTTGATCCCTCCCCCCACCCCCAGTTCTGGCCTGAGCCTCAGAGAGAAGAGTCGGGCATATGGGGGATTACCTTGAATTCCCATCTCCTTGCGACACCACTGGATGAAGTTGGACACATTGTCCCTGGCCTGGAAGCTACCTGGTTGGGCAGCCCCATTGCAGGAAACCCCAGTCCGGGGCACAGGAATCCTTTGGGCCCTAGCAGGTGCCTCTGCCAAGAAAGCCAGGGCAGCCTCGGTGACGGTGTTGGCATGCCGGCACAGTACCAGGCCTGTCTCCAGCACCTGCAGGAAGTTGGCTGCGTCAATGTTCAGCCCGTAGAGATCCCGCAGCCACTCGGCCAGGTCTTCCTTCATGGCCTCCAGATACTGCTCGCTGGACTTGAAGGGCCGGATGCTGCGTACAGGAGCCACCGGTGTGCTGGGTCTCCTCCTGAGTCCCCTGCGCTGGGACATTGCTGGAACCTCAGCAGAGGGGGGTGTGAGTGTCCCCAGTCTCACACCTCACTCTTCACTCCCCAATTCTCCCCAAATCAAGGGTCCCCTTCTACCTTCAGAGCTCCCAGGATTTCTGGCTTTGTCTCTACTTGCTTCTGGCTCCAGCCTCCAGGCCAGGCCCTGCCTCCATCCCCCCCACATTCCTCAGTCCCTGCCAGAACTTTCCCTGTTTGGTGGCCCTTGCAGCAACCTCACTCTAGGCTAGCCAGTCCACAGAGAGTTCAGAATCTCCCAGGGTGGGTGGAAGTTAAGGACACTCCTCTCTCCCCCAGGGCTGGACAGGTCAAGCTGCTGTCTCTGACTGGTCACTGCTATACTGCCACTAGTCAGGGAACCTGGCAGGGCTGTGCCCTCCCTGCTCTGCTTTCCTTCCTCTCCTTGGAGACAGAGGCTGCTACAAACACTCCTTGTTAACCCTTCAGGCAGGCTGGCTGCCTGAAGTGAGCCCTGGTGCCTAGGAAGCGGGCAGCAAGTCTGGGGCTGACCTCTCTCACCCAGCTAACCTAGTGTGTGGGGTGGGTTTGGGGGGGGAGTTGAAGAGAGCAGGGAGAAAAGCAGGGGCTATTGTGCTTTCTTAGGATTCAGAGAGCACTGGAGAAGAGGTATTCACACACACACACACACACACACACACACACACACACACACACACTGAGGCGTTTCAACCTAAATCCCTACATAAACTGCATACACTACCACACCACCCAGCATGTCTGACTGTAAAATGTCTGCCTCTCTAGGGTGCTGGGAGGAATAAAAGAATAATGTATGTAAAACAGCAGAGCAGCAGAAAACTCAGGCACTGATATGGGTAGGACATAACTCTCAATGATTCTCTGAGCAGCACTGTGTGCTACATCTGCAGAACCTGCCCCATCTCTGCTCTAACCATGTGATCCTTCAGGAACAGACTTGTCAATCAGAGCACCTCACCCCTATGGCCATAGACGGCTGTTCATTCAGCAAAGATTTCTTGAGCACCTACTCTGTCAGGCCTTATTATGGATCTAAGGATAGAGCAATAAACAGGCCCTTGGACTGTTGGAGCTACTAATATGTTACTGGGTGGTGAAAGAACAACAGATAAATCTGGCTGGGAATGGTGGTACATGCCTAGAATCTCAGCACTTGAGAGGCTGAGACCAAGAAGATCAAAATTTCAAGGTCAACCTGGGTTCCATAGCAAAGACTCTTGGAAAAAAAAAAACCAATTCAACCAAGTGTTGTCCTTCACACCTATCATTCCAGTTCCTAAAGAAGCAGAAATTTAGAAGATCATGGTTAGAGGCCAGCCCAGACAAAACATTCACAAGATCCCATTTCAACCAATGACAGACAGATGTGGTAAAGCATGCCAACCAGATGGGAAGTATAAATAGGAAGATGATGGACCAGACTAGTCTAGGCATAAATGTGAGACTTATCAATAAAAACAACTAAAACAAAAAGGGCTTGGTGTATGACTCAAACGATAGAGCACCTGCCTGGCCAAGTGCAAGGCCCCAAGTTCAAAATCCCAGTACCACAACAAACAAACAGCAAGATAAATCTGTAGTAGTAAACCAAATACTGGTTAAAAAAAAAAACTGAGAGTATAATAACAATTATTTAAAAAAAAAACTGAAATAGGGGCTGGGAAGGTGGCTCAGTGGTAGAGCGCTTGCCTTGCATGCCTGAGGCCCTGGGTTCGATTCCTCAGCACCACATAAGCAAAAAGAAAAAAGCCGGAAGTGGTGCTGTGGCTCAAGTGGTAGAGCGCTAGCCTTGAGCTGAAGAGCTGAGGGACAGCGCCTAGGCCCAGAGTTCAGGCCCCCCCAAAACCCCCCAAAACCTGAAATAATAAAGGAGCAAAGGAGAAGTTGTAGGGAGGAGATTACAGAGGTGATCAAGGAAAGCCTTATGAAAAGGCGACATGTGAAATCTAAGAAGTGAGGAAGCACATTGGCAATTAACTACCTGGGGGGGAGAGTGCTCCAGCAGAGGTAGCAGCTCGTGCAAAAGCTGTGAGATACATTCCAAAAATAGCAATGGGAAGAAAGGTGAGAAAGGAAGTAACCACAGGGGTCCCATCCTACAGGACCCTATAGTGACTCCAGAGACTTTGGGTTGGCTTTTGTTGTTGTTTCTTCCTGAGTGAAGTGACAAATGCACTACAGAGTGGTGAGCAGGAGAGAAACGTGCTCTAACTCAGGCAGCTGAGTAGAGAGGGCCTGCAGGACCAAGGGTGGAGTTGGACAGTGCTTAAACTATTACTGTCCTGTGAGGAAGAGAGAGTAGATCAGGCCAGGAGGTACTGGTGGAGATGATGACACAACTCTTAAGGAGTTCACAGGATTGGTCTAAACAGAGTGTCTCCACTTTGGCAATGTTGACGATTTAAGCTAGCCGATTATTTGTTGTATATGTTGGGTGGAGAGGCTGTCTTGGCCACTGTAGCCTGCCAAATATTGGTATTCCTTCCACCCTCACTAGGAGAACAAAAAAAAGCATCTGATCTTTCCTTTTCCTTCTTAGGGAACCTACTGGTCTAGGAGGTAAGCATGAGACTCAAGCTAAATAGAGCCCTTCTTTTGGTTTTTAAAAATCAGAGCTACAAGGGTAGGATCTTTTCACAATTTTCTTTTTCTAGTCCTGGGGCTTGAACTCAGGGCCGGGGCACTTTCTCTGAGCTGCTTTGTGTTCAAGGTTAGCAATCTACCACTGAGCCACAGTGTCACTTCCAGCTTTTTCTGTTTCTATAGTACTGAGGAATCAAACCCAGGGTTTCATGCATGCTAGGCAAGCACTCTAACACTGAGCCACCTTCCCAGCTCCTCTTTTCACAGTTGTATGGTTAGAATTTCAAGGTTGCAGGCCTGGAGCACACAGAAGAAACTATTCTCCTCCTCTTTCTCATTCTCTTTCTTCTTCTTTTTAAGTTTTGTCTGTCATGGGGCTTGAAGTCAGGGCCTGGGCACTGTTCCTGAGCTCTTTTGCTCAAGATGACTGCTCTACCACTTAGAGCCACAGTGCTACTTCTGAGTTTCTGGTGGTTAATTGGAGGTAAGAGTTTCATGGACTTCCCTGCTTGGGCTGGCTTTGAACCACGATGCTCAGATTTCAGCCTCCTGAGTAGCTAGATTACAGGTGCATGCTACTGGTGCCAGCTTAGTAATTTTCACTTTTTTATGGATTATTAACTCTTAATTACATGAATTTATGAGTCTTTTTGTGTGCTAGTACGGGGTCTTGAACTATGTTCAAGCTGGGCTCTGTCCCTTAACTTTTGCGCTCATGCCTGGCACTCTACCACCTGAGCTACTTCCAGCTCCATTTCCAACTTTTTGGTGGTTCATTGGTGGTTAAGAGTCTTATGGACTTTCCTGTCCAGGCATGCTTTGAACCTTGATCTCTTGATCCTTGGTTCTCTGATCTCAGCCTCTTGAGTTGCTGGGATTATAGGTGTGAGCCACCAGTGCTCCGCTTGGGGAATCTTCTTTATTTAAATGCAATCCTTACTTTTTAAACACTCTGTGTAGGCTAGGGATTATTATTTATTGCTCTTTAGCATTATTATTATTTTCAGTGCTGGGAATGGAATCCAGGGCTTTGCATATACTAGGCAAGTGTTCTACCACTGTGCTGAATCCCAGCCCCAGGAATTTAAACACACATACAAAATGAAAGAGAACTAGAAAAAGCCTCTAGCCAGCTCTAAAAGAGTTGGGTAGAGATCATTCCTTTTGGAAGATTTAAGGATGGAAAAAAGTGTGAACTGGGCTTTGAATAAGAAATGAGAAATTCTATGCTCACATTTTTACTAGGTCAGAGGAGTTCTTAATTAGCAGGAAGACACAGATGGAGCAGTGACAGAGATTGGGCCTACCCACTCTTTTATTCTTATGCTACTTTGAGTTGGGTTGCTGTCAGTTAACAGCATGAAAGGAATATTTGGAAGACAAAAGTAGAGCAAATAAAATGGAGTTCTTCCTCCTCCCCCTACCACACTTGTATGGAGCCTGTCAGTAACTTGTAAAGGACACATTCTGTAGCCTAGATTCTGAGCCTTAGCGTTCATGTCTTGAAGTGGGCCTTGGGAAAAACAAAAAACCAAAAACCTGACACTCCTATTAGAAAAATAACAAAGCAGAAATAGCTGAGGGCATAGCACAAGAGGTAGAGTGCTGGCCTGTGAAGCCTTGAGTTCAAACTCCAGTACTACCAACAAATAAATAAAGTTTAATATGAAAAAAACCCTCTGCAGTTTTACATTTATTTATTAACATGGTTTTTCTATATAGACCGAGCTGGCCTCAAATTCATAAGCCACTTCTCAGCCTCCCTACTGAAATTACAGGCATGAACCACTATACACAGCTTGATGATGATGATGATGATGGTGGTGGTGGTGGTGGTGATGATGAAGATGCTGGTCCTGGGGCTTGAATTCTGGGCACTGGGCTCTGTCCCTGAGCTTCTTTTGCTTAATGCTATCATTGTATCATTTGAGCCACAGTGCCACTTCTGTCTTTTTCTCTTTTCTTTCTTTGGGTTTGTTTGTTTGTTTGTTTTTGGTGTCGGTCATGGGGCTTGAACTCTGGGCCTGGGCACTGTCCCTTAGCTCTTCAACTCAAGGCTTGCGCTCTACCACTTGAGCCACAGCACCACTTACGGATTTTTCTGTTTATCGAACCCAGGGCCTCATGCGTGTGAGGCAAACACTCTACCACTAAGCCACCTTCCCAGCCCCAACTTCTGGCTTTTTCTCGATAGTTTATTAGAGATAAGAGTCTCAGGGACTTTCTTGGCTGGGCTGGCTTTGTACTGGGATCCTCAGATCTCAACTTTCTGAGTAGCTAGGATTACAGATGTGAACCACTGGTGCTTGGTCCCAGCTTTATTTTTGATAACTGGCATCACCTACAAGAGTTAGAAAATAATGCTTGGGCTTGCCAATGATGTGAAGCCATCACTTTTGGATGGAGATTGTCCATTCTGAGTTTGCACTTGCTCTCAATGTAGGTTCCTCCCTTCTCTCAGGGCTCTCCTATATGTATGTCTGACACCATCCTCTGCTTGTGTGGGTGCTCTCACAGAAGACCATTAGGAGGCTAGAAGATACACTTTCAACATGCTTTTTGCTAGTGTTGTCTTTCTGAAAGTCTCACAAGCCCCGAAATTGCTCCCAGGAAGAAGAAATGCACATCCTCAGTGGCAAAGGGCTGCTGGACAGATGTGGGAGGAGGAGGAGGCTGGACAGACGAGAAGAACAACTGGGCCTCAGATACTTTGTGGTGGTGTCTTGATGGGATGCTCCCTGCAAGTCCTGATCTGGGCTCCTTGGTGCAGCTGTGCCTGCTGAAAGCAGGAGATCTCAGGAGCCACCTGAGGAGACTGCTCCTGGTGCCTTTATCCAGGAAGAGCTCCCAGCTGTAGTCTCCTAACTGTAAAAACAATTGCTGAAAGTCAAAAAACGTAAATGATGTTAAGTAGAGCTAGGATTTGAACCCAATCTATGAGGGCTTAAAGCTACCTCCCCCCCAGTTCCTGCTGTGTGTGTGGGGGGCGGGGGGAGAGTGGAGGTAGAAGAACATGAGTTCTGAGTACTTCAGAGGCTCTGGAAAAGGTAGCAGTTCTGAGTGGAATGCTACAGGAGCTGAAGTTCTAGCCCCGCCTCCAATGTTCCTCTACCCCACCCTCCCAATCCCCAAGAGCCAACAAAGGCCCTAGAGACCCCATCAAGTTCTACAGGCTCCCAGCACCCCCTCACATCCCAGTCCCTGCCCAGGAAGTGGACAGGTCCGCTTTGGGAAGAATGGATAGACTTGGTAAGTGGCCGTCTGGGGACTAGGCTAAGGGCCTTGTGGCCTAGCTTCCACCAACCTGCCCATCATCCTGGCAGTCCCAGAGGAAAATCTGAGCTTTTTCTTAATGACCAGTCTATGTGATTACAAGGCCTCTCTTTTCTCCTTCCTAGTTTTGATGTCCACACCCACATCTCTTTGCCTGCTCAGTTCCCATCTTTATCTTCTCTGGACTTCATAATGCCTCTTCAGTGGTCTACTACTACTGGACAGAAGAAGAAAGAGATTCCTTTTCCTAATTGGTTCACTCCCAGGGCAGCCTTTTCCCAATTGATTGGATGTAGCAGAGGCCCTTTTCTGCTTAGACTTGCCCAACAGGAAACTTCTCATAATCACACAGAGATACTTGCAGACTGCCCACCAGTGATCATGCAGGACTGCCCCACGTTGAGGAAAGAAATCTCACTTAGAAAACAAAGACAACCAATGAGGACAATCAATGTTTATTAACAGCCTACAGAGATCAGGTTTCTTCCTTGGCAATCTACAGGTTGATTGCTTACCCCTTCTCTCCTGTCCCCGCACCCCCAAGCCTGAGGTTGGGCGCTGTACAGACACTGTTTTTCAACAACCCTTGAGGTAGGCACTGCTTTCCATTCTACTGATGACCAACAAGAACTTGGCAGAAGCCAGGCGACTTGCTAGGATTCCTTAGCTAGGAAGTACAAGAACCTGCGAAAAGTCAGATTCATCCCCTCCCCCCCCCCGCTCCCTCCCCCAAAGTCCCATCAGGCTCCTGCGGCAATCAGAGCTCCCAGGTCCTCCGCTGGGGGACAGCAGGCCCGCACTGACCGCTTCCCGCCCCGCAGGTGTGAAGACCCCCTTATGGAAGAAGGAACAGGACACCCGGGCCAGGAAGGCGGAGCGCGAGGAAGACCTGGAGGGTTCGGGGGAGGAAGAGGAGGAGGAGGAAGAGGAGGAGGAGGAGGAAGAGGAGGAGGAGGAACCGAGGCCTACCGCGCAGGGTGCCTCGCAGGACGAAGCGGGGGCGCGCGGGTCGGGGACGCGCGGGTCCGGGGCGCGCGAGGCGGGGGCGCGCGAGGCCCGCGAGCGCAGCTCGGTGTCCTACTGCCCGCTGCGCCAGGAGCCCAGCACCCAGCAGGCGGCGCTGCAGCGGCGCACGGACCTCGGCTTCTGGAGCTGGCTCAGCCCCTTGGCGCTGCTCGCTAGCCTGGCGGCCCCCGCCGACAGGTGAGACGCGTCCTTCCACAGCCTCCCGCTCCTCCGAGGGAGGGGCGCCGGGGCACTGAGCACTCGGGGGCCCCGCCGGCAGGAAGCGGAGCCCCCCGGAGGAGCCATGCGTGCTGGAGACGCGGCGGGGGCGGCCGCGCCACGGGGGCTGCGCGCGCTGCGAGATCCTGTTTTGCAAGAAATGCCAGTGTCTGCACTGCCATCCGGCCTATATAGCTCACTGTGTCCTGGAGCACCGCGATCTGGGTAAGGTGGAGACCCCCCCCCCCAGCTAGGGGAGGTCTCAGTACCCCCACTTCGACCTTTCTGCCCTCTATGCTTGCCTGCCACCCGTCTCCCCAAACTTCTTTCCCCATTCCCCCTGATATGGAGCACTTTCCAGCATCTCCAAGAACACTTGCCACAACCACTCCCCCCTCTTCTAGGAGGCGCCCTCCCCCTCGGTGGGGTGCGGGTGCCTGCCCACCGGTCATCCAGCAGAGCCCAGCATTACTTAGAATCCCACTTCCTCCTCCGAGGACTCTCAGTCCCTCCCGCTCACCTGATCCGTGTCCCCAACACAAGCGCACCTGAATCTCTTTCAGGTCCTCCGGGCAGAAGACAGGTTCCCTTCCTCTGAGAAACTCTTCCCCTTCCACCCCGCCCCTTCCCTCATTCAATAAAGCCTCGAATCAAAGTGTCAGTGCATTGGGGTGAGTAATGAACATGGTGCCCTCTTGTGGGTCCAAGCCAGAGAAATGAAAGGGCCTGCAGGGAGCTTCCTCTGGACAAGGCATCTCAAAGTACTTTCATCCAAGGGCAGTCAAAGGCCATCCTTTGAGAAGAAAAGAAGGCATAAGGCCAGCATCGCCCCTGGGGAGCTGAGGGCTGCACCCCTGCCAGACCATTCTCCCCTCCCTGGAAGCCTGGCTTGCTGAGGTCACTTGTGTGCGTTCAAATGAGGCCTGATGGGTGGGGTGGGGTGGGGTGGGGAGGGCTGAAGACTCAGATGCTAAAATAAACGGGGAGACTAACTGCAGCAGAAGAGGCTGGGGAACTGGTTCCTTCTATAGGAATCCCAGCTATTCCTGGCCAGACAGCAGCAGGTTTGGGAATGCTCTGTGTGTGGCCTGGAGAATGAGGGCTTAGGAAGTAGGAGGCCTCCCCCAACCTGCAAAGCCTGGAGGAAGCAGTATCCCCTAGGCCTATAGCAGGGCAGACTTCAGGTCTTTTCTGATCCTCGGGTTCTCCATCTGACCTGGGAGTGGGGAATGCAGAAGGGGTGAGGATTGTGTGTGTGTGTGTGTGTGTGTGTGTGTGTGTGTGGCCTCTGATGAACTAGCACCCACTCACCCAAGAACTGAGGCCCTAAGGAAGCAGGACAGTCTTGTAAAAATACTCCTCACCCCTCTGATAAGTTTTCCATCCTCGCTCACTGGATCCCAGCGGTATTGCCTCCTTGAAGGAACTCTCCCTTTCAATAGAAAAAACACAATTCCCAAGGCTGAGGGAGGAAAGAGGCCTCTGGGAAAAAGGGACCCTTTTTGGCTTCTGAGACACCAGGCTCTTCAGAGGACTTCCTGGCTGCCTGCTGAGAGGCTGTGGCTTTCTCCACAGGCTCTGCCCCTAGGGCAGGGAAAAAAAGTTGGTCCAGAAGGCACCAGTGGTTCATTCAGTGGTCAAGTGCCATCAGAACAGGGCACCTTCTGAGTTGGCATTCCAGCAGCCCATCCAAGGCAGCTCTGTGGCCCAGCGACCTGAGGTGGTCACTTGCAGTTTAGCTTGGTCAAGGAGCCAATAGCTGTCATCTCTGAAGAAGATGATGGAGCCATCAGGCCTGGGCAAGGCCCCGCTGACCTCCTCAGGGACTCCACTCCAGTCCCGCAAGCTGCGAGGATAGTAGGGCTTCACTTGCAGCCCACCTTGGGTCAGCACATAGTAGCGGGCACCTTTGAAGAGGATGAGGCGTCGCAGAGGAGGGAAGAAGAGGGCTGCATCTGGGTGGCGGGGCAGGCCTCCTCTTCGGCACAGCTGTGAAGACTTCCACACCGGCTGGGACCCCTGGAACCTCCAGCATCGACTCCCTGTCCAGCATCGGGAGAGCCAGGGTGAGCTGAGGCTCTCACCCATTGGTCCTCCACCTCTGCACAAGGTGATTAGCACTGGGGACAAAGAGGGCTTACACTAGGAGTTAGTTCTGGACAGTAGGGAAGAGATTGTCATGGTCTAGACACCCAGTAGGTGTCAGCAGAGGACAAAGCATGGGAAAAAAAACTTACTTGCCCCAGGCTGCACAGGTGAGGAGCTTGGTGGTAGGGAGAGGGGAAGGTACCCTCCCTGGAGTGAGGATTGAGGAGCCAGGAAGGCTTGGAAGTTTCTTCACTACCATTACCACTAATACGCATATGAGGGCAGAGATTTTAGTTTACTGTTAGATCCCTAATACTCTCAACTATGCCTAGTATATAATATAACACTGGCTGAATGAAGAGATGCTATTTTCTAAAGCATTGCCAATATTTTGCAGACAAGTCATTATCATTTATCCTCTTTTTTTTTTTTGGTGCCAATCCTAGGGCTTGAGCTTTGGGGCCTGGGCATGGTCTTTGAGCTTCTTTTGCTCAAGGCTAGTACTCTACCATTTGAGCCACAACACCACTTTCAGCTTTTTCTGAGTAGTTTATTGGAGATAAATGTCTCATGGACTTTCCTGCCCAGGCTGGCTTTGAACTTCAATCCTCAGTTCTCAGCCTTCTGAGTAGCTAGGATTACAGGTGTGAGCCACAGGCACCCAGCTTTTTATCCTCTTTCCCAATAAACCTGAGGTATCCTCACTCTTCAAGAAATGCAAGCTCCAAAAGTTAGACATCCTCATTAACACACAGCCCTGCAGAATTTCCTGAAAGACCACTCTTTCTGCTGAATAGCAGAGCTCAAGAGTGTGTCTGATTTCCCTCCAGACTCAGAATGCTCCTGGGAAAAAGCTGAACACCTACTCCATTACCTAAGGGAATCCATTCCCTTGGTCACAGGTTCTCTGGGTGAGAAGAGTCTCCACCCAGGCCTCACTGTCTGGGACTCCCTTCTTTCAGTCTTGAGCAGGACATCTCCCCTCTATACCTCATTTTTCTCAGCTTCCCCAGGGGGCTAGTACCTTTGAAGAAGTAGAAGTCCCCATCCTCCAGTGACACGGCAGCAGCGTCAATAGTGGGGGGCAGTCCAGTCCACCTTTCCTGTAGTGGGCGGGGCTCTGAGACATTGCCATCAACGGCTACCTCCCAGAAGTGGCTCCCTTTGAAGATGTACAGTCGCTGTTGCCCATCTGCTCCGAGATAAGAGAGAGGTGAGAAAGGACCAACAGCCTTCTACCATCTTTCCAGGAAGGAAAGGTTTCTAGGTCCCCCAGCAAAGGGTGGGACATGCACAGGTACAGGGAGGGAAGTGGTTAAGAGAAGAGCAGTGCTTTGCTTCTGAGAGCCTGGGATTTCTAGGTGATATCACCTATCGCTGGTCTTGTACTCCAGCCCTGGGGAGCCTGGAGTTGTGGGAGAGGAGGCAAGCAAGAAGCCAGGTTCATGTGGGACCATCTTACCTATTGTGATGGCATCGAAGGAATAGTGGCAATATTTAGGACCCCGTGTTTCAGGGCGCCTGCCCTGGGAGTTGTGTGGGTTCCAGGCCTCAAAGTCAGTGAACAGTTTTCCAGGGAGCTGCATGGCCACTGAGCGCCCCAGGGGCTTCCCTTTATAGGCAAAGAGAGAAGAGGGAGGGGAACTTGAAATGGGGGTAAACTGAATGCCCAAGAGTTCCCCCTCCCTGACTCCTGCCATGATGATTTGTGTTGGAAAGGCAGGGGAAAGAGGGCAGGCAAGAGCTGTTCTGGTTGTTGATGCCATCCATAGATCATTAAACCCAACTGCTTGGGAAAGAGGGATTTACTGAAATATAATCCAAGTAAAGATTTGGAGCTAAGGGCTGGGGGAGGCAGGGAGGGGAATCTTTCCAGAGTTCTGGACAACATAAGTAGCTCCAGAGTAGGGTTCAGGTCTCCAGCCTGCTAACTACTGTTGTAATCACAATCATTACAACACCGTGCTTCATTCCTGAAGGGCTTCCAACAAGCTGCCAATTGGGCACCAGCTCCTGAATCCTGCCTGGTTTACAATTTCCAAGTTGTGATCTTGGCCAAGTCACCTAACACTCACTGAGCCCCTTTCTCCTCATCTGTGAACAAAGATACTTGGGGCACGCTGTGTGCATAAGTGCCTGGCCTGTGATAGTTACTCTGTGTGAATTTCCCAGTCTTGGCATTCCCTAGTACAATCGCAGTGTGGGATAAGCAGGGTCCCAATTAACAATCTCTCTCCACAGATGGTAAAACTGCTCTGGGAGAGCAGCCTCAGCCTTGAGTGACCTGGGCCTCTCAGGATGATGTTGAGAGACAGCTTGGCAGAGAGCAAGCTGGGGTTGAGGGCAGAGAGGAGGGTTTTGGCATCTAGGATGAGAGACAGGTGGACTGGATTGGGTCCAGGATAGGGCAGAGACCCAATGTGAGAGGCAGAGTAAGGGGCTGGGCAAGAATTCAGAACCGGAAGGCAAGGGATGGTGGGGGCGGGGACACAGGAACTGGTGTGCAGGGACTGATGGAGAGATGGGGGCTGGGGGAGGTCTCATCCTGGGGAGAGCAGGAGCCTGAAGATCTCAGATCTAGGGCTTCAGGATTGGTGTCACCATGGAGACCGGGTGATGGATGTGCTCAGGATGGGGAATCCCATCCTGGGGGATAGGGGTGCGGGGTGCAGGCGTGCGGCGGGGGCGGTGGGGGGGAGCTCACCATACAGATTTTGCACTGCCAGCACGTCGTCCCAGCTGAGCAGCGCGTCGCGGCCCAGCCTCTTATAGTAGGGCGCCATGAGGGCGCGGGGGGCGGGCGAGTGGGTGAGGCCCAGCGTGTGGCCGATCTCGTGTGCCAACACCACGAACAAGTTGCGCCCCCGGCGGCGGCTCAAGGACCAGCGCTCGTCTAGGTCGAAGTGCGCTTCCCCGCGGCGGGGCAGGAAGGCGTGCGCCAGAGCGCCCCCTGCAGGCGGCGCGGGGAGTCAGACCGAGCCACGCCCGCCACTCCCCCCCCTCCCCCAGCTCCTGTGCCTGGAGGCCAGGGTGGGTGTTTTCTGCCAGTCTAATTCCCCTTCTAGTTAAGTCGGGTAAAGCCTGTGTGCAGATAGGAGTAGAGGACTAAGCTGTGGGGTATGGAGTCATCTAAGAGGCAGCAAGGGGAAAGACGCTGGACGTGAGGCCAGACCCTTGGGTTCCTCCAGTCTTCGTTTCAGCATCTATCTAAGAGTCCTGTGAACTTGGACAGGTAGCTTAACCTCCTGGTTAAGAAGATGCAGGTGTGTGTGCCTGGGCGTGCCACACTTGATGCTTGCACGCATTACTTTCAAGATGATCTTGGTATAGGAATAGTGGTTGCTCCTAGAAGGAGGAAGCTAAGGTATTTTGTTCTGTTTCCTGGTCTGGGTGCTGGGTGTTTGGTGTGTAAAGAGTCATCCTAAACTTAGGATAGGATGCACTTTGATGTGTATAGTCATTCTCTCCCTTCCTCTTTCCCTCCCTTCCTCTTCCATCCCTCCCTCCCTCTCTCAGACAGGGTTTTGTTATGTAGCTCAGCCTAGCCTGGAACTCATAATCCTCCTGCTTCTTCCTCCTGAGTACTAGGATCACAAGTGTGTACCACCAAGCCCAGCTCATATATGCATTTTTTTTGGTCATTTGCTTTGTGCTGGTCCTGGGGCTTGAATTTGGGGCCTGGGCACTGTCTCTCAGCATTTTTGCTGAAGGCTAGTGATCACCACTTGAGCCACAGCTGACTTTTGGGTGGGTAATTAGAGATAAGAGTCTCCTGAGCTTTTCTGTCCAGGCTAACTTCAAACCATGATCCTCATATCTTGACCTTCTGAGGAGTTAGGATGATAGGCATAAGCCACCAGTGCTCACCAGTACTAGGATTTGAACATGGAACCTCACACTTGCTAGCCAGTTCTACCATTTAAATCACACACACCCAACTCATGCATATAATTTAGAAATATACATATCTTTGCAGTCCTACGCTTCCTCTGCTGAAGCTATTCTGGGGGCTTCCATCTCCTTGCTCATCATAGGATTGAGCATAATGAGTAGGGCTGATCAGTGATTCTCATTTCCAAGGGGACATAGAACATATTATGTATGCTGTTTCCAGGGTCCCTCTGCTCACTAGTCACTTTCCCCATGAGTATGTGACCCTGATGCAGAGGTCAGAAAACTGCACTGCTAATGTCCTAGAAGCTAGCCAACAGTCCTTCCAGTTTTCCTGAAGCCCAGCCAAGCTGTGATTGATAGAGGTCAGGGGCCTGTAGAAGGAGAGCAGATTATATTGCAGACAGAAGCCTTTAGACTGACTGGGGACAAATGGAACTAGCTGTGGGTCTATGAAACACTGTGGCTCTCAGGGTAGGGGTAGGGTAATGGTAGCTATGAATTTATTTATTTATTTAGGGGTATGTGTGTGCCAATACTAGGGTTTGAACTCAAGGCCTGGGGCACTGTCCCTTAGCTTTTTTTTTTCCCCCTCGAGCTAGTTCTCTACCACTTGAATCACAGCTCTACTTTAAGCTTTTTGATGACTAGTTAGAAATGAGAGTCTCAGGAACTTTTCTGCTCAGGCTGGCTTCAGACTGTGATCCCCAAATCTTAGCTTCCTGAGTAGCTAGGATTACAATTGTGAGCTACTAGCACCTGGCCAGCCTCTAGATTTTTTTTTTTTGGTCGGTCGTAGGGCTTGAACTCTGGGCCAGGACGCTATCCCTGCACTCTTCAGCTCAAGGCAAGTGCTTTACCACTTGAGCCACGGCGCCACTTCCAATTTTCTATTGGTTTATTGGAGATAAGAGTCTCACGGACTTCCTGCCCAGGCTGGCTTTGAACCTCAATCCTCAGATCTCAGCCTCCTGAGTAGCTAGGATTACAGGCGTGATCCACCGGCACCTGGCCTCTAGCTGTTTTTTAAGGTGCCTTTCTGGAGAATAAGAGAAGCAGAGGCCTGCTAGAAGCAAGGAATAGGTAAAGGGACCTCAAAATATCCTCCCAGAATAAGACATACTCATTGGAGTTTGCAAAACACTTTCCAAACAGAGGCTCATCTGACGACCCTTCAAACAGGTGGCACATTATGGGGCAGGGAGCATGGTTAGCATTTTACAGAGGAGGAGACTGAGGAGGAGGTACAACTTAGCCATGACATGGGGAGAGTATAGAATCCATTGTCATCCCCCCATCCACCCACACACTGCCTTTCCTAGTCAGGTTCTATTCCTGCTGTGTGAACAGCAGCTTTGTGTCAGCACCTGGACCATCGAAGGCATTGCTCAGCCCATCGTTGTGGTCTCCTTGGAAGAAGGTGAGGCGGATGTCAGCAGGGCCAGTGGCCGGGGCCTCCCAGAACTCCAGTCCTGAGACGTTGCTCCATAACTGGAAGGCAGCATGCACGGCCCCTCGAACGGCCGACTCAGGCAGGTGCTCAGGCCAGTTCACCAGGCGGTAGGAGAGGTGCTGCTTGTACCATTTGTGACCTGTCACCCAGAAAGGCCACATCAGCCAAACCTGCTGCTGAGCTTGGGGCTGGTCCCCATCGACTCAGTATGATGAAGAGTAGGCCTGGCTCCAGAGAGCCTCTGACTTGATGGGGAAGACACAGCCTTTACCCTGGGCAGCTTCCATTTGACCCAGTAATAGGCCAGTACCCAGGGGAGCACTCATACCAGGAGGACTACCCTTGCCCTGCAAAGTCCCCAGCCTAGTGATTTAGCCTGGGGAGGATCCAGCCTGAGGGAGAGATGTCGCCTCCACCCAGGAGAAGCCCCTCACCCTAAAGAAGGGTCTGAATCCCTACACTTGGCATGAACTGAGCCAGAAAAAGCCTCTCGCTGGCAGCCAATTCCAGCTGCTGCCTGTGAGTGGGGGAACAGCGGGGGACCAGTACAGTGAGATCATGGCTATGATGGTCCCAGCAGATCCTTCCACCCCCTCACAGCCTCCTGCCACCTCCTAGAGTCTCCATCTTGCCCTTTCCAGGACCTGGGGACTTGAGGTTGGCCAACAACCATAAGACCTATCTGCTTGAGGTCCCTTCCTGACTCCTGACCCCTCCCTCCCTTAGCCTTCCTCCCGAGAGCTCTGAGGTGAAGATAAATAACAACAATGTTGCATGTGTTGTCACCATCCAACCACAACTTTTCCATCTTTTTAAAATTTTCTTTATCCTTTACCCTAAACCTCAGTTCTTCTCTGGTAGCTGGCACTCAGGCTTCTGTACCAGCCCTAGGTGGCAAAACTGGGCCTATTTAGTTGGCCACATATGCAGGAACAGGGTAGTTTAGAAAGTCTGGCTGCAGTTTTCTCATGGCCTACTTTTGTGACCCCAAGTGGAGGGCTCATAGCTCAGAGGCAGGATTTGTGGGCTCAGGGGAGGTGGTGGGGGAGGAACGGGGACTTGGGGACTTGGAGAGGGGGGAAGGGTCTTGTCCAGAGCCACAGAAGGAGTGAATTGCTGAGCTGAGCCCTGAGCTCCCAGTCCAGTGCTCCTTCCATTACACCACAGAGATAAACAGACCCTTTGCTGGGACGCCAGGCTTATAAATCTGCTAGAACATCACTTGCAGCTCTGTACTGGCTGAGATTCTCCAGATGGAAGCGAGTTCTAAGGGAAAACAGGAGCCGGGCTCCCTTGCTCCTCTCCAGGGAGAGAGGAGGGGGGTGGGTAGTCCTTTCTCCCACTCTTGAGCCAAACTCCATTCAAGGCAATGCTGAGCTTGTTTGGCCTGGCACTCACCCAGCCTCTGCCTCTCAGCCAGTGAACAACCCTCAGGGAGGGAGGGGGAAGGACTTTGAGGAGAGAGGGGGAGACAGGGAAGGGGGAAGCAAAGGCCTGGGCCTCAGTGATTCATTTTGTTGAAAGAATACTCTTGCCTGTCACTGTGAGACTTGGATAGGCACAGAGCAGCCTAGGGTGGGCTCCTCCACAACGGGCTGCAGAGGAGTTGATTCTAGACTCCACCCTGGACCCAACCCTTTCATCTTCCAGCCAAGTGGAAGGGGCTCCTTCTGCCCTCCTGCAGTTCAGGGCAGGAATTCTTCCATTTTTAGGGAAGGTGAAAGGTCTGAGGATAAAAGTCATCGGTGAAACTCACATGTGTTATACGTGGTGTGTATATGTGTATACGTGGTATGTATGTGTGGTGTATGTGTGTGGTGTGTGGTGGTTTGAGGAAGGAGAGAAGGACAGGGATGGTAAACAGGCACAGAAATTGAGAGAAAATGACTGCTTTTCTTGGGAGGAGACAGGGTTGGGGTTCACTGGTGTGCCTGCCAGGAAGGAAGTACCCCAGTGGGTGGGGGAAGCCTGAGCTTTTTCCCCTGCCCTCCCATGTCCGCCCCTGGACACACACACACACACACACACACACACACACCCCTCTGGGAGAAGGCTGGCTGCTTCAGGTTCCAATCTTAAATTCCTGACTGGGCAGGGCTGTTTTTCATGGAGGCAGACCCCCAGCACTAGTTGCCTATGGCCTTGAGCCCCACACCCTTGATTTAAAGTCTACAGGGAAGAAGAAAGGAACGGGGGAAGGGAGGAAAGCTGGGGATCTCTGCATGAGAAGGCCTTGGAGTCTTGACTCCCAGCAAGCAACTGGTGCAATAGGAAGAACATGAGTTGGAATCCTGCTTCCTCCACTTACATCAATGGTAGACTCTCTCCAGGCCTCAGTCTCCCTATCTGCAAAGTGGGGTTGTATGGCTTACATCATGGTAAGGTGTGAAGCTCCAATGGGATAGCAACATGAAGCTGCCTGGCATGTGCTGGCTGCTCTCCCCCCCCACACCCAACCAGTTCTGTGAAGGAACAGAGGGCTCTAAAATCAGACCTGGAGGCAGAGAGAGAAATGAGGTTCCAGATTGTCAAAGAAGGATACAGGATGAGCTGGTGGCTCACGCCCGTAATCCTAGGTACTCAGGAGGCTGAGATCTGTGGATTACAGTTCAAAGCCAGCCTGGGCAGGAAAGTTCATGAGACTTTTGTCTCCAATTAACCACCAGAAAACCAGAAGTGGTGATGTGGCTCAAAGTGGTAGAGCACTAGCCTAGAGCAGAAAAGCTCAGGGATGGTGCCCAGGTCCGGAGGAGGAGGAGGAGGAGGAAGAGGAGGAACTCAGGGGATGCCCAAGTGGGGCATCAAGACACTCTGAGATGACCCCTAGTTTTTACTCATTCTCACCAGCTTTTGAACTTGGTACTCAGGGATGGCTCTTCTCTGCAACCGAAGACTGGCATCCAGTACAAGGGAGAATGGGGAAATGAACCCCTGGGAGCTGTGACACGGCCAGGGTCATACAACTGAGACTTGAACCAGGGCTTCTGACTCCAGGGATGATGGTATCTCTGTTCTATCAAAAATCCTGATTTCACACCTCTCCTGTCCTTCCCAGAAACAGGCCCAGAGATGCAGAACATGCAGACACGAGGGACATTTGGACCTCCTTGCTGACACTTTGCTCTGGCAGGAATGGGTTCAATCTGTATAGGTTACCTATGGCAGCTGGATGTAGAAACAGCTGCCCTCCAGCTGTGGACAGTTCCCTTAAGGATGAGCTAAGACATGAACACAAACAGTGCCTGTATTCCCATTCATAATAAATACTGCCAATAAGTGTAGTTAGCACAATTAAGAGTCACAAAGGCCCCAAGTACTCACAGTAAAATTAATTATAGATGGGAACTGACTGAAATAAAAACCCTCATCTTGTTAGAAATCTTGAAAATTAAAATGGATTGAAATCAAAGCAATGATGATACTAAAATTACACAAAGTAAAAAGTCATTTAAAAAAAATGACAGAAGGGGGGCTGGGAAGGTGGCTCAGTGGTAGAGCACTTGCCTTGCATGCTTGAGGCCCTGGGTTCAATTCCCCAGCACCACATAAGCAAAAAGAAAAAAGCCGGAAGTGGCGCTGTGGCTCAGGTGGTAGATCTCTAGCCTTGAGCTGAAGAGCTGAGGGACAGCTCCCAGGCCCAGAGTTCAGGCCCACTACTGGACCCCAAAAAAAAAAAAATGACAGAAGAATCAAAACTTCACAAATCCTAGATCTGTACCATTTGGCCCCAGAATATTTGGCTTAAAAAATAAGAGTAGATGGATTGAGAATATGGCATAGTGGTAGAGTGCTTGCCCAGCATACATGAAGCCCTGAGTTTGATTCTTCAGTACCACATAAGTAGAAAAAGGCAGAAGGGGTGCTGGGAAGATGGCTCAGTGGTAGAGCGCTTGCCTTGCATGCATGAGGCCCTGGGTTCGATTCCTCAGCACCACATAAGCAAAAAGAAAAAAACTGGAAGTGGTGCTGTGGCTCAAGTGATACAGCACTAGCCTTGAGCTGAAGAGCTGAGGGACAGCGCCCAGGCCAAGTTCAGGCCCCACGACCGGACCAAAAAGAAAAAAGAAAAAGCCAGAAGGGGTTCAGTGGCTCAAGTGGTAGGGTGCTAGCCTTGAGCAAAAAGAAGCTCAGGAACAGTGCCCAGGCCAAAGACTGGCAAGGAAAAAACAAAAAGAGGAGAAGGAAAAGGAAGAGTAGAGGGAAGGGGAGGAGGATGGCAGTGGTAGAGTGTGAAGCCCTGGGTTTCATCCCTAGAACGACATTAAATATGTATAGACAGAAACAGAGACAGAAATAGAAGAAGGAAAGAAGGAAGGAAGAAAGGAAAGAAAGGAAAAGAAAAGGGAAAGAAGGTAGGGAGGGAGGGAAGGATGGAGGGAGAAAGGGGGGAATGAAGGGAAGGAGGGAGGGGAAGGAGAGAGGAAGGAATGAAGGAAGAAAAAGGCAGAGGAGACTGGATGCTAGTGGTTTATGCCTGTGATGTTAGCTACTCAGGAGGCTGAGATCTGAGGATTTCAGTTCAAAGCCAGCCCCAGGAAGAAAAGTCTACAAGACTGTCATCTCCAAAAAGCTGGAAATGGAAGTATGGCTCAAGTGGTAGAATGCCAGCTCTGAGTTAAAAACCAAGGGAGAATGTGAGACTCTGAGTTCAAGCCTCAGTTCTGGCATTTGCACACACACACACACACACACACATGACAGGGGAGAAGGGAGGGAAGAAAAGGAACAAAAGAGAAAAAAACAAGACTACAAAGAAAAAATTCACAGCAGACACTGTAATGTGTAAAATACAGTTCAATGAAATGTCCAGAAGAGGCAAATCCTCAGATACAGAAAGCAGTTGATAGGGGTTGGTGGAAGGGGCAGGAGGGAGCAACTGCTAGGGGCATACATTTCTTTGTAGGGTAAAGAAAATGTTCTGGAACTAGGAATTACTTGTGGTTATGGTTGCACAATTCTGGCACTATACTAAAAAAATAAATAAATCACTGACTTGGTCACTTTAAATGGGTAAATTGCCTGATAAGTGAACTGCATCTCAATAATGCTGTTAAAGAAATGTGCTCTGAAGAAAATAAAACTAATTGATGTATCATAACTTTGTTGAATAATTACTCTGAAAAAGAGTTGATTCTGATGGAAGTAATTTCAGTAAATAGAAATGAAAAACATTGGCAACAATTTAACTGCCCTGCATTAAAAAAAAAAAATCAAGGAGTTAAATGGATTTGATGGGACTTGATTTGGAAAATACTTATACAAAGAAAATTCACCAATGCAAGTCAATTGAGGTTTAAATCTCTGTAGTCAGCATAAATTATGCTTCTTGAGTCAACAGGTCCTATTTGACACCCTTTCTTTGCACTAGGGAAAGGTCTCTGGTTGAAGGTGGGGCTTCAGTGTATTGGGGATCCCAACCTAGAATTCAACAGCACTCACCTTGCTTGGCAAAGCGTTTCTTGCGCCTCATTTTGGCCCGGGGTCCAGCAAACAGGGCACTGATCCTCTCCCTCCAAGCTGCATGACTGCCAGTGTCTGCCACCCCGCAGCGGGAACGTGTCATCTGGCGCAGCGTGGGCCCATCTAGCACACCACTGACAGGGAGCTGCGACACCCACTGGAACTCTCTGCCAGGAGGAATTGAAATAAAGGATCACAGAGCCAGGGGGTGAGTGGCAGTGTGAGAACTGCTTTCCAGGGGGCATGGCCAGCCAGCCTTCCAGGAAGAGAGAAAAGTAAGAACTATGTAACCTGCACCCCCCAAGTCCTCCACATTCCTCCATCCTACCTGAGCGCATTGCTGAATCGAGTGGAGGCTGAAGCTCTGGGAACATTCTCATTGAGGTAGCCGTATTTCTCCAGGAAGGCCTGGGGGAGAGTGGAACATCAGCCCTTCCCACCACACAGCATCCTGTCCCTTCTCCTGGCGTGCGAGGGGCCAAGGCACATATATCCTGCTCATGCTCCTCTTGTCCCAAGATGGCCTGTAAACTATAGCTGAAAGAATTCCAAGTCCAAAGTATCCATTTCCAGGCCATCATTGACTCGTTGGATGGTCTCAGGAAAACTGTTTACTCAATTACTTCTGAAGGTCTGGCTTGCTTATCTTGAGGCATTATTAGAGATCTAGTGTGCATGCTGAACAGTTATGGGTTCTGGACTCAGCTTGGCCTACAGCTGAACTCCAGCTTGCATCCTCCTTCTAAACCACAAATTTCTCCACCATAAAATGGACTTCATTGCCGGGCGCTGGTGGCTCACGCCTGTAATCCTAGCTACTCAGGAGGCTGAGATCTGAGGATCGCGGTTCAGAGCCAACCCGGGCAGGACAGACCGTGAGACTCCTATCTCCAATAAACCACCAGAAAACCGGAAGTGGCACTGTAGCTCAAGTGGTAGAGCGCTCGCCTTGAGCTGAAGAGCTGAGGGACAGCGCCCAGGCCCAGAGTTCAGGCCTCATGACCAGACCCAAAAAAAAAAAAAAGAGTCTCATGGACTTGGTTGCTCAGGCTGGCTTCAAACCATGATCCTCAGATCTCAGCTTCCTGAATATCTAGGATTACAGGTGTGAGCCACTGATGCCTGGTAGAAACATGTATTTTGAATTAGAAAACTAAACCTTCCTTCTTCTATTTACTTAAAGAGTGCATGCCTGAATAGCTAGAGACAATGAAAAATACAGGTAACAAGTAAACAGAAAAAAAACAAACAGTGCTCTGAAGAAGCTGGATGATGGGTCTGAGAAATCAGGAGGTCTAAGTGGAACACTTCTGCCCAGGATCAAATATTAGACCTGTATCCTAAAGAACAACATGCAGGGCTGGGAAGGTGGCTCAGTGGTAGAGCGCTTGCCTTGCATGCCTGAGGCCCTGGGTTCGATTCCTCAGCACCACATAAGCAAAAAGAAAAGTGGCGCTGTGGCTCAAGTGGTAGAGCGCTGGCCTTGAGCTGAAGAATTGAGGGACAGTGCCCAGGCCCAGAGTTCAGGCCCCATGACCGGACTCAAAAAAAATAATAATAAAGAATAACATTCATCCAGCCATGTAGTGAGATGGGGAAGGGTATTGCTGACAGAGGAAACAACACATGTGCAAGTCCTTAGGCTGACCTGATTAAGGAACAGAAGGAGGGCTCTGGTGGCTCCATGGCTCAGGTCTGTAATCCTAGCCACTGAGGGGGGCTGAGATCTGTGGATCACAGCTTAAAGCCCACTGGGACAGGAAAGCCCATGAGAGTCTTATCTCCAATTAACCAGAAAGAAGCAGGAAGTGAGGCTGCAGCTCAAGTGGTAGAGTACCAGCCTTGAGTATCCAAGAACTGGTTTCAAGCCCCAGGAATGCAAAGAAGCAGAGTGAAGAGAAGTCAGAGAGGCAGAACCATAGGCTATGGTAGGAAGTGTAGGTTGATTTCAGTAGTGCTGATGGATTAATTGTAGAGAATGCAAGAAAGAAGAATTCCAGGTGGCTCAGAAGTGTACTGGCTCAAGTGTACTGAGGGGAGACCAGGTGCAGTAGCCTGGGGTATCACCTGGTGATGTTGAAGTGATACTGACAACATGGAGATAATGTAAATTCCCCTCCAAGGAAATCAGTGTAATACAGCAAACGTCTCATGGTCTCAGGGTCTTGCACTGCTCTCCAAATGAACAAGTTCTTCGAGAGAAAAGTGGTTCAGTATTGTCACGAACCACTTCCTGTGGGGAGCTAATGCACTTGGATCCCTGCCTGTCTGTCTCACCGATAAAGCCCCATATATGTCACCTTGGATAAAGGAAAAAAGATACCTCTACTGCTTAATTCTCATGCAGACGTGAATTGGCTTTTGATTTTTATCCCTCCTTGTGTTATCTATATAGAAACAATTTTCTATCTTCCTTTAAATTTTTCCTCCTTTTCCCTCCCTCTCTGTTTTCTTTCGTGATCAACCGTCACTTGATTATGGTTAGCCTAGGCTACCACAAACTTGCTTGTAGGATCCTCCTTTGTTATTGTTGGTCACGAGGCTTGAACTCAGGGCCTAGACACTGTCCCTGAGCTCTTTGTTCAAGGCTAGCACTCTACCACTTTGAGCCACAGCTCTACTTCTGTTTTTTTTTTAGTGGTTAATTGGAGCTAAGAGTCTCATAGGGACTTTACTGCCTGGGCTAGTTTTGAATCCTAATCTTCAGATTTTAGCCTCCTGAGTCGCTAGGATTACAGGTTTGAGTCACTGGTTCCCGACTAGGATCCTCCTTTAATGCTGGGATTACATGCATACAACACCAAGTTTGGCTTCTTTGCTCTGTGTCTTAAAGTAATTCTAATCAAAATTGCTGCCTCAAGGAAAACACATGACTGGGAATGAAACTAGACACTGAGAGTACTGGCAAGTCCCTAAATCATTGCACATGTCCAACCTCCTCTTTATGGATTTCATTTACACCCAACTTCCACAGAAGGCCACTTTCATCTAGCCATTTTCCCTAAGGAGTTTCATTCTAGACAACAGTACAATTTCCAAGTCTGTGTTGTTTAGTCTGTGTTGTTTTTCTGTATTGGTTTATTAGCATGTCAGCAGTGTTGTTTTCTTCTTCCCTTTTGTAAATGTGCATTGCTTTCAGATGTGTAACGGATTAAAGGGGATCCTGTAAAATAACCTAATGTTCAAAAGAATGTGACCACATGGAATAGCCACAGGGCTGGAGATTGAGGATCTATTCCCAATTCTGAGTCTGCTAGGTGGCTGGGGACAAATTAATTAACTGCTCTGTGCCTCTGTTTCTTTATCTCAGCGTGAGAGTGAGATACACTTCACAGGACTCTCAAAGGATGAAATAAAGTAATGCACATCTAACATAGTGCCCGGCACAGAGTAAGTGTTCAATAAATATGTGATCTCATGCTTCACCTTGGAGGGAAAATGAACTACACACTTTTGGAATGCAGTCCAACAGCAACATGGGTAGTTTTTGTTTTTGTTTTTTTGTGGGTTTTTTTGGTGCTGGTTCTGGGGCTTGAACTCAAGACCTGGATTTTGTTCCTGAGTTTTTTCTTTTCTTTTTTTTTGGTCGGTTGTGGGGCCTGAAAGCTGGGCCTGCACACTGTCCCTCAGGTCTTCAGCTGAAGGCTAGCACTCTACCACTTGAGCGTCAGCCCCACTTCCAGCTTTTTCTGCTTATGTGGTGCTGAGGAATCGAACCCAGGGCCTCATGCATGTAAGGCAAGCACTCTACCACTGAGCCACCTTCCCAGCCCCCCTGAGTTTTTTTCTTTTCCCTCCTCTCTCTCTACCACTTAAGCCATAGCTCCACTTCCAGCTTTTTGGTGGCTAGTTGGAGATAAGAGTCTCATAGATGTGGGGGGGGGGAGGGGGGAGGCTGGGAAGGGATGTGAAGGGTAAACAAAGGAGGAGGCTGCAATGCTTGGTAAGAAATGGACGCATTATCCTGCCCATGTAATTGTAACTCCTCTGTACAGTATGTTCACAAATAAAATTAAATTAAATTTAAAAAAAAGGAGTCTCATAGACTTTCATGCCTAAACTGGCGTTGAGCTGCAATCTTCAGATCTCAGCATCTTGAGTAGCCTGGATTACAGGCATGAGTAGGAAGTGTTTTTGAATAAAGCAGGGACAACTCAAGAGAGTTGAGAACACTCAATTCAGGTGCGATCACCTGGTACCTGCCCTCTTCAGCCAGGTGCCTGTTTTCTTCCTAGCCTCTTCAGTTTCTCAGGAGAGAATGAACAGTGGGCTTTCTAGGCAATGAATATCTAGGGAATGATTATCTCCTTTGAGTGCAGTTCTGCTGGGCAAGTGACTTGGAAGGCACCAGGTTATGGGTCAAAACCTGGCTGGCATTGCCCTGATATTTTCCCCACAACCCCACCCAGCCCTTATCAGAGAGTTGGCTGGGGTACTGGAACTGTGGAGCCTCGGGGGCATTGAGGGCAGGAGGGTGGGGGAAAGTGGAAATTGGCGGCGTCTCCGGTTTCCTGGCTGGGCTGCAGCAGCCTCAGTTCTCTGGCAGACAAGGTGGGGTGGAGGCTGTTTTTTAAGAGCCATCAATGGGGCAGTGCTGAGCTCTGGGATCCTGTAGTGGCCTGGCAGGGTCGAATTCCCAGTGAGCAGAATGAGCACCTTCCTGGAGCAACCACTACACAGAGGCATAGAAAGAATGAAAAAAGGCATTTGAAATACAGGACATAAAAGCATTTTAGTCTTTTGATCAGGATTTATGGACTCTTCAGCTTAGGCTTAATATGGATATATTAAAAAAAATTTAACAGTTTGCAGGAGGGGACCTTTGCTACTGTCAATGTAGAGCGTTTCCTTTGGTGAGAAGGCCCCAACTTTTGACAGTAAGCCCATTTTCTGTGCCCCAGTTTCCCCTTGCAAAGGTAAAAGGAACACCCCACCCCACACGTGGGAGAGAAAGGAGGAGTGCAGAGAACAGGTAGAAGGTAGCCTCGTGGTGGAGAAAGCACAGAAGACATGGAAGTGGGAAACAGCTCTCATCCTAACTCTATCATCCCCCCACCTGCTGGGTCATTTCTTCCTTTTCTCCCAGGGGAAGGGATGGAGAAGTGGGGGAGGGGAAGGACTTTTCCTGGTGTCTTAGGAACTCTGAGTTCGCCTAGGTCATCTTTTCCTTCCTTCACAGGGGCAGTGAGTGGAATGTTCATGTAGAAGTTTGTGTGGTTTTCTGTCTTCCCTGGTCTCTATCTGTCCTCTTTTCAACAGAGCCCAAGGTTGATGCTGAATGACTATAGAAGCTACAGGGCTGTGGCTCTTAGGTGACTCACTTTGCCCTGGTCAAAAAGCTTGCACCAACATGCTCATTCACTTGGGTATGGACGGAGCCACTTTCCTGGGGAGTCACCTCTGAAAGT